GGCCGTCAACGATGACAGAAATAGGATGGTTCTATTTAGAATTATTTATAACATAATAGATGAAGGAAGGTTTTAATAAATGATTTAGTAGTCATCCGGATACGACATCGTAGCCAGATTCTTTCGCCTGCTCACAACATTCTGCGACGTCATGCTCAAGCGGTTGAGCGACAAGTTTGCCAAGGCGCCCGTGAGCGCTACGTCCGGGGAAGCCAAGGAGGAGGATGACGTAAGTCTCTTCGGGGAAGCACCTGTGGCCGCGTCGTCGCGCACCAACAGCGGCAGTCAAATCGTGTCGGCGGAGACCATGGCCGCGGCGTCGGCGGCGGCGTCGGCGGCCGCCTCGGGCATGTTTACGTTTATGAAGAAAGCGCAGAGTGCGGCCACGTATGCAGCCAAGGAAGGGTCGGCGAAGGTGAAGAAGGCGCTGGACGCGGCGGATATGGATGCGTTGCAGCGGAAACTGAACCACGCGCTGGACGGACATGCGTCCGTGGACATTTCGACGCTCAACTTTACATACGTCACGGACGACATCATCGCGATGGGGTTCCCCACGCGAGGTAGCGGACACAAGTTGGGACCCATCAAGGACAACCCCATCGACGTCGTCGCGAAGCATCTGAACACGGAACACAAGGGGCATTACATGATCTGGAACCTCAGCGGTACCCATGTCCTTTCTGCATCTGTCCTTTCTCTCATGAAGGTATACCTGTCTCGTATTAGAGGAATCGTACGACTACACGTACTTCGACAACCAAGTGCTCGAGTTCTACTTCCCCGGGCATCCCGCTCCTCCTCTGGGTACGCCGCCGCCGGCCTGTCTGTCCTTTCTCGTCCTTGAACATGCGGTCGTTCGTCCTATAGGTCTGCTGTTCAAGATTTGCGCGTCCATTGAGAGCTGGTGCGCCGCCGACCCGAACAACATTGCATGCGTCCACTGCCTCACGGGAAAGGGCCGCACGGGCACCGTGGTCGCATGTTACCTCGCTTGGATCGGTCTCTTCGACTCGCCCATGGAAGCGCTCGAGCACGTCGGCGACCGCTGCCGCACGCCCGTGGAGCGTCTCACGATTCCATCGCAGCGGCGCTACTTGTCGTACTTTACCAACGTCCTGGACGGCGTCAAGCCGCGCAGCATGCCGCTCCTCCTTCGCCGCGTCATTCTCAACCAGATCCCCATCTTTGGCTCGCGCACCACAGTCGACAACGACATGGGCGACTTGAGCCAAGTGATGGAAGAAGAGGGCTGCTGTCCATACCTGCAAATCTTCAAAGGCGGCAAGCTCGTGTTTACGACCACATGGACAGCCGCTAAATCGGGGGGGGTGCCGTGGGTGAGCACGTCGGAGCTATCGACGAGCTTCTCTGTGGACTGCATGTTGCAGGGAGACATTCTCATCCGATGCCGCCATCTCACGGACGCCGGCGGCCGCGTGTCCATGTTCCGCGCGGCATTCCATACTGGGTACATTCCCCTCGGCATCCTTCGCCTGACCAAGGGGCAGCTCGACGGCGCGTGTCAGGACAACCGATTTGCGTCTGACTTTTTCGTGGATTTGATCTTTGCGCCGGTGCAATCGACGGCAAGTGATGACCAAGATGGACGGAGCGAAGGCGTGGCTCTGTCGGCACAGGACAAGCACGCGTACGATGACATGTTGACGAAAGATGAGCAGTTTTGGTCCGATGTGGATCAGCGCAAGGCGCGGATGCTTGAAACGAAACAAGATGAAGGAACGAAGAAGAAGATGGCGACCACATTTAGCATCGTGGCCGACGTGGACGATGTGCATGTCGAGTACGAGCGCAAGGGAAGCTGGGATGAAGGCCGTGAAAAGGACTTGATGGACGCGCTCAAGGCGGCGGTGCCGCTTCCGTCGGAAGAACAAGATGATGGACATGATGATGATGATGGAGTGGTGCAAGACAATATTCTTGAGCTGGAGGATACAGCAGACGACGATGCGACGTTTGACTTTGCAGACGACGACTTTGACGAGTTGGAAAAGTACTTGACGACGCTCACGACAAACGAGTAACCAGACGACGAATAACTGATAAGGTTGTCTCTTGTTTGTAGATGGGACTACGAATAACGTGGTGGTGGCCTCGTTTCATCGACTACCAGTAGTAGTAGTATGGTTGAATGGCGTTAGATTTGTCATTCACTCTATTGTGCAATACACTAATAATAGTAAATTTATAAGTTTTCTCTGTATGGACATACTATTTATTGTCCTTGTTCCCCAAAATTTGGACGTTTGTGCAGAATCGCCAAATCTATCGATCGATTATTCTTCGATTATTCTTTTTGTATGTCAAAAGGTGTTTGGCATCACACTAATTGAAGCCGCACACTAATTCGACGTTGATCGTGGTTTCCACCAATCAGATTGGCTCAATTCTTCTGCCGGTTCTTGTGTTTCTCCATGTTGGTCCCAGTTTAGAATAAACACAACAATGTACCATTCAAATCGTTTACATACACCGGTATGCGGAGAATATAAATATTATTCTTATGCTCTAATATATATATGTATATATATATATATAATCTTTCATCAATCAACATATCATGTATTGTTGATTCGCAAACAATATATATATATATATATATTTACGATGCCGTTGGTGTGACTATTAATACTAGTACTCCACTGTTGTAGAAGTATACCTACAGAGGGTGGATACTCGGCATCGTGTCTATATAGGACGATTGGACCTAGTATTGGACGGGGTTTCGTGGTTTCGTTCGTGGATGACGTGGCGTGATGTGATTGGCCATTGGTACTTTTCCTCTGGCTTGTGTTCATCCAAAGGTGGCGACGGCGTTGGGATGTCTGTGACAGCGCACGAGCCACGAGGTTACGCACTGCGCCACGAGCGTGAGGATGCCGTCCACGTCATGCCTTGTTAAAGACCCATTCGTGGATGGAAACTATCACCAACTAAAGTCAAACAAGTCACCAACTAGTAACTAAGACATAGTACCTCCTGGTCCAGGGCATCCAACGTGCACTGCAAAACCCACGGTGACTTGGTCTTTGCGTTGATAAAAGCTATGATTTCTTGGCGGGAGTACAGCTTGTTGGCGACTTGGTCGGTCGAGTTGGCGGGCGTCGCGGTGGTCGTGGGGATGGCCGCCATGAGGGGCGGAGACAGCGGGGGACGACAGCGCTGCACCACCTTGTCTAACTGATCTGGAGATTCCACGATGCCACCTTCAGGAACTACCTACAGAATTCAAAGTAGGATATGATCGATGTGTTGAGATATGGGGTGTACCGCGTTGAAAGCATTGGCTAGGCATGTAGCGTGGTGGAAATACTCGTCTTTCACTTGTTTGGTTGACGACGTAGCCGCCGTTTGAATCGCGCGGATCGTGTCGTGGCTATCACGTTCCAAGTACGCAACCAGTTCAGTCAAGTTGACTGATCCACTCCCGTCTACATCCATCACGCCAAACAAGTCGTGTATGGTTGTCTGGTTCGTCCATGGCAGCGGCAGCGGCGGGGATTGTTCTAGACATGGATCTTGTCAGATCAAATGCCAATTATACATGGAGGTATGTATGTATGTATATACAGTACCTATGGGACGAATGAACGGGAACAAGGTCGTCGTAGATGACTCGAGTGTCATAAGGTCGTTGGCTTGGCACAGTTGAGAGGTATCGAACATGCCGTAGACACCGGCGCCGCTGGTCATGATAAGCGTGGCACTGAGTACGGCCAGCCTCGCGGCGCGGGCTTTGGTGGACTTCGGCAGCAGCGGCCGATGCATGGCTGGTGTGTCGGTATCGCTTCCATAAGAAGAAGCGAACGTCGGCAGCATAACCACGAGTGTGATTCAGTACTAACGTGGTGGTGGTTGTCTCGGCGGAGATCTGCCGTTGCCGAGAGTGGTGGGCTACGCAAAAGCAATCATAGCTTAGTCGGACAAACAACTCACCACATGCGAATCGAAGATGGGACAGAGTGGTGGTGGCGGTGGAGATTGCGACACAGCGGCTCACGGAGGGGAAGGAATGGAAGGGCGAGTTGTGCGTCCAACAATGTGTTGAAGGATTCGAGTGTGGGGTTGTCGGCGTATTCACTGTACTAGTATGTATGGGCTAAGCATAGGAGGGCATGGTGAGATGTTTCAAATAGGCGTTTCACAGGTTTCTATTTATAGATCTTCGATATGCGTTGGATGGGTATATACACTTTCAACGAACCTTCTTCTACCAGGAAGGGCTGTGTGTCTAACGAACTCAACGGCAGGCTCGTACTGACACTTTGCAGTGGTAGGTCTGGCTCCAGAAGAGCTGATAAAAACTACTACTTTACAAATGTCTTGGTGGAAAAAGTGCCAAATAAAGTGCCTGGTCCGACACTTCAAAGTACGTACTAAAGTTGTTGTATCGTTGCATGTACAACAACCAAAGTTATTTGATATAATCGTTGGATTAGTCGAGGCGTATAACTACTATCAAATGTCATTCCAGAGCTACGAATTGTTCGGATGTTCGTTTTCGACTTCCAATCGTGATATAGTGATATTTTTCAACTAGAACGTACTACACTATTTCCTGTTGAAGTTCAGGGTAAACCCCGAAACCATGAAGTGAAATGTTACCCCGAAACCCCAAAACCCTGAATGGCGATTAATGGCTGTCAAGACACGTTTTCGCGCCAACATATGGATTAATTTTGGTGGTTTGGAGTCTATCTTTGTCCTGAGTTTACAGTGTTACTACGTAGTAGTTGAATTTTTTTCAATTTTAGAGGGGTATTAAATCTCATGATTCTGGACGAGATTACATAGTACAGTCCAATTAAGTTATTCTTTGTGATATGCGAATGACTTGAAGTGATTTCGTATATCACAGAGTGATTTCCAAATGACTAAGTATGCGTTCAATCACACAGTCCTGACTTATTTATGGAATTCGTAGGGAGATTGCCTACGATTTCATATTTAACCAATGAAAACACTCGTGTACAGTGATTGGATAATTCAATCACAAATCCGTGCTCATCACGAAACACTATTGAGGATAGTCCTTGGCAATGCAGGCTGCATGATACGAGTACAATTATGCGATAATGGAATATCATAGTCGTGTACTACGGTAGTAGTTTCGACATCAACGTTGACTGTAAGCATCCGTGCCGTGACCACGACCTAAGAGCATCTCCACCGGTTGGGACTTTTAACCAGGTTCTATACGGATAATGTTCGGATAAATGAGAGACTTATGCTGATTCCAGTGATAAGTTCCATTTTCGCCACCCGTCAGATTTATTTGCGCGGGACTGTGAAAATGATAATGAGTGCATTTATTGGAGATTCGGTATGAATTTCCGGACCCCGTTCAATCGAATCTCGCCGAGCGAATCGAGCACCAATCTCTCCCATTGGTCAATCCGAAATTGCTTGTCGCTGATTGGCTACAATCCATTTTCGAGTTTCTACTGGAAAGGGCGAAGTGGATAATGGCCAATCAGATGTCTCGGCTCTATTTGT